CCATTCAGAATTTGCTGAGCATGTTGTTTCGGATCAAGAATTGTTGCGAAGGAATCCTTTGTCTTGTAATACTCAGCTAGCAGTTGATCATGGACGTTTTGTGGAAGTCCCTCTTTCTGCAAAAATTGGTGTACGAATAATAAAACGCTAATTATCTAACGTTACCCTTACCATAGCTTCTTCGTAAAGATCATTCAGGTATCGTTTAACGGCGCGCTCATATTTTTGCCAAAAACCCTCCTCTACTTCACCATCTACGGTAGTTTCTTTGAGTCCTGGTGTTCTTTCCAGCCAATTCTGATTTGGAAAAAGGTTTTTTTTGTGAAGAGTAAATAGGTGTGGGAGGAAAATGTCGTTAAAAAACTGCTATACCTGAATAAGCATTAGCAATGAAGGATCATTTTCGCTTTTTTCCACAGCTTGTACTTCGGCTTTATCCAGGAATACATTTTTGTAGTGTTGTGCATTATACTGCAATTTGGCAATGTTTACGGTCTCTCCAAAAATCATCCTATTTTGCTCATACCTTGATTCTGCGATCCGCGCGAACTCCCATTTTATTCTCCAAAAGTCTAAACTGCAAGGACTGGAAGCCTGAGGCGGGGGTGAGGTATTTGCTGCAATACGATATATTACACTAAACATAGAAACAGATGTTGTAGGAAATTTGAAAAAAGTACCTAACTTACCGAAAATCCACGAAATCCAAGGGACTCATCGTATCCAAAATTGTAATTTGATCAACAAGCAGCTTGAGGATCCGTACTGTTCGATCGAGTCCGGACACAATTCGAAGCGTTTTGGTTTCGTCAACAATCTATCAATCGTAAAATTGGATCATCAACGAGTTTAGCGTATTCCTAATTCTTTCATTTCCAAGTTCATTCGTTGCAGTGACGCAGTAGGCCAAAACTGCCTTAATATCAAAAAAAATGCTGATGATTTCGACTAAAGCGATGTTTTTTTCGTTTTATTGAAAAAACTTGTAAATTATTTATCTATTTTCTCAAAGTTCACTATGCATTTCACTGTGGTTTAATCAGAAATCTCAGTTACAGAGCTGGTAT